CAAAGTTGTGTCCAGCCTCACCTAAAGCAATGGATGCTCCAGCTTTAATAATAGGGAGCCAGAGGGCAAGGGAAATCCCTGGAAATGAAGAATACATGAGAGGAAATTTCAAATAGTATCTTCCTACACATGTAAATATCACTGTTGAAGTCCCATGGACGGGCCCAGAGCCATTCTACCTTCATCTATGATTGGGGGTCTATTAAATGTCCAAACAGCTACTTTATTCCCAGGAGTGTGCAGAGCCTGGCACCTTCTTCTTCCAAATCCACCTCCAAAGGAGAAGGAAGGATATGGAGACTGAGTGTCAACTCCTCTTTCCAGAAGCTTGGCTATGCAAAGGTGGAGAGGGAGAGACTATGGAATGAATGAGAAGCCAGGAAAGCGGAAGCATGGTTTTAGAGTAACAAGATGTGGCCATGTTTTGGAGGCATAAGCAAAGGAGAGATTCAAGATGCTGGAGAAGGTTGAGAATCCTCCAAGCCAGGTCCTCGGGAGTGTGGAAGTGAGGAAATCCAGAGTCCAGAATTACTTCTGAAGAGAAAGAAGTTTACAGAGGGGGCAGATGGAGAGAAGATGCGTGGGGGAGCTCTCACCCAGTGGGCTCTGAGATTCTACTGGGAATGGGGACAGGACATTAGCCTGGGGCAGTGGCCAAGGACATTCGCTGAAGATGCATCCCAGGCCTACTCAGCAGCTAGGTGACAGTCACAAAGAAGGCAGATGGTTACCTGGGTATGAGGGCTCCGGGAAGTCACACAGGTAGGAGTTAGTGGTGCTGGCTAGGGTAGGAAAAGCCCAGAAGTCAGGAGACCTAGAATGAGTCTTGTCACTAACTCACAGAGTAACTTTGGGCATGTTAATTCCCTTCTCAGAGCCTCGGTTCCCTTAGCTCTACAATGAGAGGAATGGACTAAATGGTCTTCAAGGGCTGTTTGGCTATAAGACGCTGTGTCTGTGTCTGTAAGTCCAAGTCAGTGGAAACAATATGGAGCAGGCAGACCCTTGTAGGGGTCTTCAGCCCCCCAAGGCCCTGAGGAAGGGCTTCTCTGAGAAGAGATCCCGGTGGATACAGCATGAAAATTCTTTATCAGTCAGGACTCTTTCATTCATGTGAAAGAAACCCAATACAAACAGCTTACAGGAGGGAGGGAGGGAGGGACGGACGGAGAGAGGGAGGGAGGGAGGGAGAGAGAATTATAGGCTCACATAGCTGAAAAGTCCATATCACAAGGCTTCAGTTATGGTTAGATCAAGGAGCTCAAATATCAGCTACAGTCTCCCTCTTGCTTCACTCTTCCTCATCTAGACCCACTTTTTTCCCATCAGTAGCATCATTCTCAGAAGACTCCCCATGAAGTGATCATTGGCGGACCTTAGCTTATAGTCAGCAGCTTAGCAACCCCAACAGGAAAGTCCTTCTCTTTTTTAATATGGTTAGCAAAATTCCCAAGGCAGACCTTCATTGGGCTGCCCGGAGTTACATTCCCATCTCTGAGCAATCGTCCCCAGAGGATGAGAGGATTTAATTCATCAGGTCTCGGTCACATTCTTACCCCTAGAATCAGAGGTAAGATCATACCAACTCAGGGCATATGGACTAAGAATGGAGGGAGAATAGACCCCAGAGGAAAATTGGGGTGCTGTTACTTAAAAGAGCAATGAATGCTAGGAAAACAAAAATAATAGATGTTCCTAAGAAAGGGTGTTGAGAGATGCCTGGATGGCTCAGTCAGTTAAGCATCTGTGGTTAAGCATCTGCCTTCTGCTCAGGTCATGATCCCAAGGTCCTGGGATTAAGTCCCGCATTGAGCTCCTTGCTCAAATAAATAAAAAGAGAGGGCGTTGAGCTGGTATCTCTGGCAAAGAGCAAGATGAAGGCCACAGTGTGATCTGTCCCTCCCTCCTTTGGCTGCAGTGTGTGGGGTCCCCAAGTTCTCCCGAAAGCTGATGGCCAGGATCTTCAATGGACGCCCAGCCCAGAAAGGCACCACCCCCTGGATTGCCATGCTATCATACCCAAATGAGCAGCCCTTCTGCGGGGGCTCCCTTCTAGGTAAGGAGACGTGGAAAGGGCTGGGGACCCAGGATTAGGGGGCAGGGTGAAAGTGAAAGAACCCAACCCTCTTCCTGGAGACTGACCAAGATTTCTCCATTGAAATTCACTGTCCACACTAGAAGTGAGACCCAGAAGGACAGTGTGGTAGGAAGAGCCCTTAACTGGAGCTAGGAGATATATATTCCTGCTCTAGCTTGCTCCTTCAGTCAACAAACACCTTTGAAGTCCTGGTCAGTCTCGGGCAGTGGGGAGGACTAAGTTGAAGAGTCAGACCCTCAAACATTGATTACAAGGCTCTCATGTGAACCTCAAAGGCAAGGTGTGCCAGGGCTATGGGACCAGGGAGAACCAGGAAACTCACCCTGGAGAAGCCAAGGAAGGGAGATTCACCAAGGCCCTGAATACCGTACTTAGGAATTTAGATCTGTCCTGAAGGCTGCTGCAGATTTATAAGGATGTTCTCTCCAGGGGCAATACACATTGAAAGGAGAATCAATCCTAAAGCCAGGATTTCAGTGAGGTGGCTGTGGCAATTGTGGGGAGGGAAGTCACTAGCCTCAGAATAAGGACAGGAGACAAGGCATGGCAATAAGACAGATTCAAAAGCATGAGAAAATAGAATTGTCAGGATTTTGCAATGGAGTGAATGTGGGTGGGAGTGGGAGCAAGGGTGGGAAAGAAACGGCTGATGGCTCTTCCTGCCACGGGTTGGTCCCGATGATCAAAGGTCCATTCCAGCTCTGACGTTATAGGAAAAAATGATAGCCGCCTGGAGTCCCTGGCCAGTTCCTGGTCTGATCTCGTCCCAAAGGAAGAAGGCCTGGACGGGTCCTCATCTGCCTGGGCATCCCCCAGACTGCCAGGCCCTCCCCTCTCTCACTCACCTCCCCAACCGTGGAGTCAGGCGAGGACAGCTCCAGGCTAGATCAGTGCTTTTTAAACTTTAAAGTGAATAGGAATTACTTGAGGGTCCTGTTAGAATCCCCCGACTTTACTACCGAATGCAGAATTCTCTTTCAATAGATCTGAGGTGGAGCCTGAGAGTGCATTTCTAACAAGTTCCCAGATGAGGCTGACGCTGCTGGGCCAGGGACCACAAGGCCTGAAGGGTGGCCAGTAAGCCCAGGGTCTTCTGTGGACCCACCTTGGGCTGTCCGAGGCTCACCAAGCCCATAGGTTCAAGGGAGCCCTAAAACCCTGCTTCAGATGTTCAGTCTTGGCCTCTTGGTTAGAACAGGCAGATGAAATCAGATTTAACCCCTCATCTCCAGATTAGGGTTATATGAGTGTCTGACTTGGGGCTCTGAAACGCAATGGAAAGGGGGACCCTGAAGTGGTCTGAAGCAATGGGGGACAGGACGGGGCAGTGTAGGGCAGAACATATGTACAATTCGGTTCTCAGTATCCAGCTGGATCGTGACTGCCGCTCACTGCCTCCACCAGTCGCTCGATCCCGATTACCCAGTCCTACATGACTCAGACCTGCTCAGACCTTCTGACTTCAAAATCATCACGGGTGAGTGAGGGGCAGGCTGACTCCTGAAGCCAACATTGGTTCTGGGTATGGGGTGTGCCCACTTGCTCACTTATCAGAGCAGGACACCTGGGATGAAGAACAAGCTAGAACTGGAGTCCAAGCCCAAGGCGAAGATTTTCAGGTGGCGAGACCACGAGCCGGTCACTGAAGTCGAGGCGTCCGTTTTTATAATGGTAAAATAAGAGCCCAGTCTAGATCATTCTAAAGACACTTCAGGCTTCTAGGAATCCATGGTTTCAAGGAAGTCATACCCAGGCAATCCAAGCTTACCGTCTCTTCTATAAAGTCTAGACCATCAGCTGATTCAGTTTGGTTCAGCACATATTTGCCTACAGACACTACAGACCCTATGCCAGGATCTAAGAACACAATATAATTAAGACCTAGTCCCCACCCTCAAGGAACTTACAGTCTAATAAAGGAATAAAATACGAACACAGAGACTGCTAGTATAAGACAGGAAGCAGTAAGTCCTATAGGAGAGAAACAGATAAGGTGCCATGGGAATTCAAAAGAAAGAGACTTGTAACTGAAGAATCTAACTCGAGAATCAGGGAGGCTTCCTGGAGGAAGGAACACATGACCCAGGCACTGAGGTGTGATGATATGGTTTGAACATGTGGCAGGGAGCATCAGAATAAGTGTTATAAGGCAATGGGATCAGCTCAAGAAGAAAGACAGAGGTGGGAGCCTATGGGAATACTTGGTATTGACCTTGGAAGGTCAGGTAGGGTGGGACGGCTGGGAAAAGGGGAGTGAGGGGCAGCAAAAGGGTTAAAGGCTGGAAACAGCCCGGATGGGACAAGGGGCAACAGGGAACAAGGTGGGACCTTACCCTCCATGTCTGCATTACCCCCGTGCCTCGTGTGCCTTCTCTCACCCAGGCAAGCACTGGAGGCACTGGTCGGATGGGAACGAACAGCATCTTAGGGCCAAACACCTCTTCCTCCATCCCCTGTATGACCCCAACACGTTTGAGAATGACGTGGCTCTGGTGCAGCTGCTGGAGAGCCCGGTGCTGAGCGACTTTGTGATGCCCATCTGTCTGCCTGAGGGCCCCCCCCCCCCAGGAAGGTACTCTGTCCCATGCCTGACCCCACCCCTGCAGAACAGCAGGGGCCTCCCCAGGCACCGCTGAGCCAGCTGAGCCAGCTGCCAGGGTCTGCGGGTCCCTCAGCTGCCTCCCCAAGAACAGCTAAGTCAGAGGTGGAGCCGAGGCAGCACACGGTAAACAGGCAGGCTTGATCAGTACTCTCGAAGGCCTGGGTCAGTCAGGGTCCAGATGAGAAAATGGAAACCAGACGAGTCATTGCAAGCGGGAGAATTTAATCCAGGACACTGGAGGACAAGGGCAGTAAAGGGGATGCTAATGTAACGCAGGTAGTACCCACAGGAAAAAACCACCCCTCCTTGGGCTGGGGGAAACAAAGGGGAGAGGAGGATGGAGTCACAGCACCTAGAAGCTTGGGAAAAGGACTCAGAAGCCTGCGGCGGGGCCCCGTGCTGACGTGCTTGGGGGGAACAGCTGCGACCAGGCGCCGGGGCTGGGGCAGTGCCAACAGGAACAACAAGCCTTCCGGGAAGCGTCTTTATTCTGGGGAGGCCCCCCCAACAAAGCAGAACTGCCACTTCAGAGTCTCATCTGCAACATCACCAAGCAGAGCAAAGAGTAAGTTTGGAGCCGAGGGACAATAGCTTAATCACCTGCACAGGTTCAAAACCCGGTCCTGCCACTTCCCAATTGGGTGACCTCGAGGAAGGGTCTGAACCTCAAGCCCCTCACCCCGACACTGAGGATAACACCCCGTAGGGTGGCTGTGATATTTAAGTGAAATACTACGCTCAAACATATCGGCTTCCTTTTCATCTTGTTCTAAATTCAGTGGTGTTGCGTCACAGCTAACCTTCTTGTGTTCGAACAAGTGACAAAAACTGGTTGAACAGAACTGAGCCAACAGGAAAGGCACAGGTAGGGGTCTGATTTATCAGACACCGTGTGCCCACCATGTGTCAGTTGCTCTACTTTCACTAATGTATTTACTACTTATAAGAGCATTGTGTGTGTGTGTGGGGGGGGTTGTAGTCCCATTTTCCAGATGAGAAAACTGAGGCCCAGCAACGTGAAGTGACTTACCCAAGTATACAGCTTGGAAGAAGCATAGCTGGGGCTGGAAGCCAGGTTGTCCCATGTAACCCCCCATGCTGTTTTCAGTAGCTAGACTCTTTTTCACATGAAGACATGATTGCTCTCTGTCAGTGCTCAAACCATTTCCACCTTGTCCCCACACCTGCCAGCTTCACAGACTTCTAGGATATCAGAGCTGGGAGAGGTTTTAGAGGATCCCAAGTCCAGCCTCTTTTATGTTTTACGGGTAGGGAAGCAGGGGCTCAGCAGGGGAGGGTGGGCCGGGGGCTCGCCAAAGGCAGCATAGCGCATCGTGGACTAGGCTGAACTTTTACGTTTTTCACAATTATTGATTGAGCACCGACTACGTGCCCGCGCTACTGGAGCAGGGGATACAGCAGTGAACAGAGAGCTGAGACGGCCACCTCTGTGGAGCTTAGGTTCTGTGCTACTTGGGAATGGGGGCAAGTGAACAGCCAATCAACCAGCTAATGACTCCCAGAAATAAAAGCCCAAACCTCTGTTTCCCATGAGCTCCAGCCAGCAGTCCTCCTCCGCACCATGTCGCCTTTTCTCTGATGGGGCAAATTTAACCCTTCCTCCACAAGCAGAGAATGATGGGGCTGCAAGAGGCAACCCTCTGAAAACCCCACAGACAGCCACTCCTCTCTCACCGTGTCTTCTTTCCTCCAGGGGACATGGTCATCGTCAGTGGCTGGGGAAAGCAGTTCTTGCAAAGGTTCCCAGAGACCCTGATGGAGGTGAAGTTCATTTGATGTCCTATAGAGAGGGATGCTTCTGCCTGCCCCACATTGGACCCTCCTGTTCCATGTTGCCCCTCAGGGATTCAGAGTCTCGGGCAGAGGGTGGGTGAGAGAGAGACTCCAGGGGCCCAGACTCACCCCCAAAGTTCACTGGGACTTTGAATCCCAACAAGCTTGGTCTGTTTGTTCTACGTGGGGCTCTAGTCTCTAAACATTGTTCAGTGTTTCTGTAGCATAGTAAAGGCTCAGGTAATGGAAATTCTTCCAGAAAACAGTGGGCTTGGACACCCCAAAAGGTGATCCATCTGTATACCATAAGGATCCACATACCGGAATAACCAAGAATGAACTAAAGAATGGCCTCTTGAGAGCTGCAGTCCTTGCAGTAATGAACTTGATGGTTGCATTTAGAAGTTCACATTTATATCATTTCATAAAAGAATACTGCACTAAAAGTAAGGAGCTATGGCTCCAAGTACTGGCTCCTACCAACTTGCTGGGTGATCTTAAACAAGTCATTTGCCTCTCTAGACCATTGTATAGTATCCCAAGCTGCAAAGTTAGGGGGAACGCTAGATGTCCCCCAAGACCTGCCTGGCTCGGACATGACTGGGGTTGGTAACTGCCATAGCTAATCTCTGCATCCTTCAACATACATTGTTGTAACATACTTTAAATTTTCGGATTTGCAGCAACCATTCATCCCTTCCTTCATTAACTCCCAGGTATTTACCTGGTGCCTCTCATGTACCAGACATTGTGCTAGCTACTAGGTATGCTGGGGGCGGGAGGTGGGGGAGAACACATCTGGTCCCCAGCCTCCTTGTGCTGATAGTCAAGTAAGAGGGACAAAAAGTAGTTACCAACATGGTAAATGTGATGAGGAAGAAGTGCAGGAAGCTCCAGCATGTATAACAGGAAATCCATCCTCGTCTTCTGGGTCCAGAAGGGCTCCCCAGAGGAAGTAACACTTGAACAATACCTGAACGATGAGTAGAGGTGAGTCAGGCACTTGGTAGTTTGCTGAGGATATGGGCTCATGACCACCCTGCCCTGACTTTCTCTCCCCACCTGTCTGAGAAGGCCGTGGCCCAGGAGGGACCTAAACGGTGAAGGTCAGCAGGAGCTATACTTTTGGGTATGTGACCCATGCCGTTCTTGCTCTGGGTAAATGAGACTCGGTGTTTCCTCATGTTGTTCCAGACTTCGACTCCAACATTTACCCCTAAGCCTCAAGGGCAACACTAATCACAGTACCTTACTTTATTGCTTCAGGTAAAAAAAAAAAATATATATATATATGTATATATATATATATATATGTATATATATATATTCCCTGAGTGTTGACTGTGTTCCAAGCTGTGTAAGTAGAAGTGGACAAAATACAGACCCAGTGTCTAGAAGCTCATACTGTCGTGGGGGAGAAAGTAAGAAAGGAAGTAAATGCCTGCTGTAAGGTGAGCAGCTGTAAACCCTACGGTACTGAACATTTTTATACAGCGCTTGTAGTTTACAAAACATCTGCTCATTCATCTCCTCTGTACCGTTCCATGTTATGAGTATGTCAAATATGGTGACTTCCCTTCTTCAGATGAGGAAGCGGTCTCAGAGGTCTGAAGGGCCGTGATTACACTCTATGTCGCAGATTCCACAGCCAGTAATTGTAGGGATGGGGGGAAAGTGGACTGACCATAAGTTTTGAATACATTTCCATATTTGGAAAAATGAATGCGCTAGGCAAATATTATCTCCATTCTACAGATGAGAAAACTGAGGCCCAGAGAGGGCAAAAAGACCTGTTCAAGGTCACACAGCAAGTTCATGCCTGAGACAGTTACAGAATATGGATCTTCTGACTCTTTTTAGTGTTCCTTTACCAGGAGCAGAGGGCAGTTGCTGAGACCAGGTCTAAGGTGGACTCAGGCTCATCCTGGAAGGGGACGGGGAGGAGCCAGCTCTAGGGGTGTCAGAGCAAAACAGACTCCTCAGCCAGGGGTGGGGACCAACCATGGCCTTATGTTCCAGATCGAAATCCCAATTGTGAACCACCGCACATGCCTGGAGGCCTATGCCCCTCTGAAGAGGAAAGTGACCAGGGACATGATCTGTGCTGGGGAGAAGGAAGGTAAGTCAAGAGGAAGGAGTACAACAGGGCACCGACAGCCACGGAAGGGCTGGAGACCCTCCAGTTTGGAAGGCTGAATGGAGGAGGAGTCAGAGGAGAGGAAGGAGGAAGGTCAGGATTCCACTGGGGAATTCCACTGTGTCAGAGAAAGGAGCGCTAAGAAATTCCCGTCATTCCCTTCTCCAAGCCCAAGTTTTCCCCTATGAAAGGAGAGTTCCGAATCCGCACTTTCTGAAATCGCGGAGCTCGGAGGAGGCCCGGCAGAACCGGGCTCAGCCAGGTTTGGGTCACATGGTCTATAGCGCCCCCTCGCGTCCAATTTTATGAACTATAAATCAGATGTAGGGGAAAAGGAAGCTCCTTTGGTTTTGGGGCTAAGAAGGGGAGCGCTTTAACCTGCATCTCCTTTTCATCCAGGGGGAAGGGATGCCTGTGCAGGGGACTCTGGATAAGGAGAGAGGCCAGTGGTACCTGGTGGGCACCGTGTCCTGGGGCAAGGACTGTGGAAAGAAGGACCACTATGGGGTGTATTCCTATATCTACCCCAATAAGGACTGGATCCAGAGGGTCACCAGGATGAGGAATTGAATTCCATTCCTCACCCCGCCCCCCCCACAGCACCTGTCCGTGGTCAGTCAGCAGCACAGGATAATTCTCTGATGCAGGATGCCCCTCCCCCTCCCCCACTTCATTCAGCCCACCCTTTACTGGCCCATAAAGGGGGCATCTCAGCCTGCTTTTCACACTCTCTAAAGGCTGAGTAGCTGAGTGATCAGAACACAAGGCTGAATCCAGGCCCTGTCGATTACTAGCTTTGTATAACTGGGCAGGTGACTTTACCTCTGAACCCGTTTCTTCCCCCATACTATGAAAATGGCGTACCTTACCCACCTCATAAATGTCTGATGAGGATAAAATTAATTAATATATACATAGCACTGAGCATAGTGCAGACAAAACCTAAGTGCTCAGTAAACGTGAATTAGCAAAAGGTCCCTGTGTTTACCAGGCAGATGAAGTTCTCTTACAAATCCCGCTGGGTCTTGGGGCTAATCCGTAGGCGCCCTTCCCCTCAACCTTGACCATCTTCTTCATCTGCCTGCAAAGCTTTTTTGCTACTATGCACTTTTCTCAGTCGCAATCCCTGTCCCCCATAAAAAAGCAAAAGAGAGAAAATTCTTAGTCCTAGAGCACGTCCAATAGCAACGCCCTTATGAATGTGAGCCGGACACCAAACCATGAGAGTGCCTGAGAGAAGGAGAATGGGGGTGAGGGAGGGACCAAGAGCAATGGAATGGGAAGTCAGATGCCAGGTTCTAGAACTAGCTCTGCCTCCAGCTCCCATGTGGCTCTATGGAAGTCCTTTCCCCTCATCTGAAAGAACCCTCCCAGGTTTGACAGTCCAGAATCCAATGAAGACATTTTTCCCTGATGACAGGAATTAAAACTGAAGTAATCAAAAAGCAAAAATCACCTTAAGGTTCAATAGGGCTTTGATGCAGACCCAATACTGCATCTGCTGCAATGCCCTCCCCACCCCCGCCACATCCACCATGCCCCTCTAGTGCTAGTCTAGAGAATTTTCCTCATTCCCAGGCAGAACATCTGCTCCTTCCCTTCCTGGGAACCTGAGGTTCACAAGGGTCGGTCCTGCAGGGCTAGACTCAGGCCCCTGCACTCTTCCTCCTTATGTCCACAGCTGACCTCAAGAAGCCATTCCACTGATTCTTTACCCCTGTCCCTCACCCTGAATGCCCTGGCCTTGCAAGGTCCTAAGTGTTTCCCAGGCAGAATACCTCTCCCCTCCAAGAGCCACCTCCTCTCTCAGGAAGCTTCCAGAGACCTCAACCCTTCCAGAGCTCTGAGATTTAAGCCATTCAAGGGATCAGAAGCTCCAAGTTCCTGTCTTCTGTTCTATCAGAATTGGTCTTCATGGGAAATTTCAATTCTTAGCCTGCACTACAGTTGGTGGAGTCATTCAAGATCTCTTGCTGGGAGAAGATACTGAGGGGTGAGAACTCATGGACACTAAGCCCTAGGCTGAATGCTCAGGGACAGCAGTTCACAGCCTGCTTCTGGTTCCATAAGCAAGTCATTCTACCTCTTGGCACCCTGCAGTCTGTGCTGCAGAGGGAAAATGACCATGGGTGCCCAACTTCGTCAGAGATGTGTCAAGCAAGTTGAAGCTCTATCTCGGACACCAAAGAATGGCAATGCAAAGTTTGGGAGTTGCTCTAAGACATTCCAAAACCCCATACCTTTCCATTTCACAGCACTGCCTGGGTGCCACCATAGGCTAGGTTGTGCTGACGGCTATGGAGAATACCAAGATGAGGGAAGCACTGTTCATGCCTTCCAGGAGCTTCTACAGGAAAGACTGACACATATGCAGGTGACTGCCATGAACAGAATGAACCCTGCTAAGTGCTCTCCTTGGGAGCAGCATGGAGGCAAAAGAATGGCCACTCTGGTATGAGGAGTTAGAATAGGGGACTTCAGGAAGACATCCCAGAGGAGACGATGTTGGCGCTGACCCTTGAGGAGGGTGGGCATTTCCACGGGTAAGGGAGAGGGAGGCCTTCCAGGTGGAAGGAGCCCAAGAGTAAACGTCCACTCAGGCTTTCCTGAGATTACACTCACTTCTCTCACAAAAATGACATTTACTAGGCCATTGTTCTGATTCTGGGATCAGAACTAACATCTAAATAGCCTTTCTCCTAAAAGTCAGACAACTATGGGACTTGAATAGCCTAAAGATTTATGTACAAATCCAGACTTCTGGTTGGACCCAGTTCCTCTTGTTTATTTCTCCAACTACAATTTTATCCTTATTCTGAGGAAATGTCTGAATGTGCTGTGGAACTTCAGCTTACCCTTGATCAGCAAACATCTATTAGATATATCAGCCCCCGCACTGCTGCGAATGTTCAAGAAGCCCAAACTTCTCACATGGTCATAGAAGCAGGGGCTTGGAATGTCTATTAGGACCATCTTATCTAGAGATGAGAAACTCATTACCTCTAAATGTAGCCCATTCCAACTTCAGAATGTGCTGCCTCTTACGTTGCCTCCTCCATACAACAAAAATCCACCTCCGTAAAATATAGTTTGTATATCTAAGGCTGTGATTCCAGCCATGAATGTTGTTATTAGCAATAATGATCATGCCAATTTCATTAGCAACAGAAGCTATTGTTCTTGTAAGTAACTACACATTTGTTCCAATAAACATCTGCATTGAGTCAAAGCATTCTGTTGGGCTTGTATGTTTTTCATGCACTGATGATTCTGGTAAGTTTTGTTTTCACTTATCAACATTTCTCTGACTCTGATTAGTATCACTGTACCATGAAGAGGGATGGGGGGAGATCCTGTTGTCCATACAATAGCATGACAGGTTTTTCTGGTCAGTTCTGATTAAATACCTTGTCCTATTGTTCCTATCAATTATCAAAATATCCCAGGATGCCAATCTTTCAGCATCTAAATTCCATTTCTTGATTGTCATCCTCAACCCAGAATAGAAAAAAAGATTTTTTTTTTTTTTTGGATCATGTGTTTAATTGTGTGGTTCAGAAAATATGGCACCATGTCTATGAGTGTCCTGTTCTAGACTGTGGTATATACTTTTCTTTTGAGTTAATCTTTTTCCCTGATGGCAGGAATCAAAGAGTCACCACCAACAAGCAGCCTTTCGAGCAAAGATAGCTAAGATCAAGGAGGGGAAATCTATGCCAATCACATGACAGAGATGGTGGCCAATCTGGGTCTAGAATAGGCCTTGAAATCAAGAGACTTAGGTTCTAGTGCAGTAGAGGTTGACTTTCTCATCCACTTAATTTCTCCATCTACTAGCTGGCAGAAAAATCTTTGCCCTGCCTCTGTCTGAGGGTTGTAGAAGCAGATGAATTAGCAGATAAGAAAGAACTTTGGAAACTAAATGTAGCTCAAATATAAAAAGTTCCATGGGAAATAATCACTGACATTTCTGAGCATTTACTATCTGAGTGAGACCACACTAAGCTCTGACATAATTCTCTAATCTCTCCTCGCAAAGTACTATTATTCTCCCCATTTAAGGGTGAGAAAACTGAAACATAGTGAGGTTAAAAATGTGGCCTAACCTATAAACAGCAACACCCCAGTAGCAACAAGCGCACCTAGTGTTCAGATTTTGGCTTCTAACACTATTCTCCAATAAAAGGAACAAGTGTTCCTTAAAGAAATGGCCAATTCTAGGACTAGGACGGGAAATATACAAGATGAACCTGGAGTATCTTGTTCCAGAAAATAAGGTGATCGCACACAGTGGTGGGGGTGTGCCAAATAGACACAGGAGCCAACCGGAAGAGCTCCAATGGCCAAAGCCACTTTGAGCAACAAAATAAATAGCATTGGATTATTTAACCCAAAGTATAAAATAAATATCCATGAGTACCTACTTACATGAGTAAGTTATTGGGGGGGGGGGCGCCTGGGTGGCTCAGTTGGTTAAGCGACTGCCTTCGGCTCAGGTCATGATCCTGGAGTCCTGGGATCGAGTCCCACATCGGGCTCCCTGCTCAGCAGGGAGTCTGCTTCTCCCTCTGACCCTCTTCCCTCTCGGGCTCTCTATCTCTCATTCTCTCTCTCTCAAATAAATAAATAAATAAATAATCTTTAAAAAAAAAAAAAGAATAAATAAGTAAATGGGGGAAAACAGATACATCTCCCATGGAGAATGCCAAATAATTTACGTAAGTAATTTGCTCTAAAAGAGATGGAGCATGACTCTCCCTCCCTTAAGTGTGGGCTGTAAATAGTGACTTCCTTCCAAAGTGTACAGTATGGAAATTGGGGGTGGATGGCAGAATAAATTTCGGGTGGAGAAACCTAACAAAAACACTACCCCAGCCAGGTGATCACAGTTAATATCAACATCAATAAATCATGTCAATAGTATGTTACCTTGATACGCCATACTGAAGATAGCACTGTACCTCTGCGTTCTGCCTCCCTTCATCCTGTAACCCCAGCCTAATCAGGAGAAATATATCAGAAAAATCCCATTTGAGAGATAGTCTACAAAATACTTGACCAATACTCCTCAGAATTGTTAAGGTCATCAAAGCTAAGGAAAGTCTGAGAAACTGTCCTAACCAAGGGAAGCCTATAATGGGCTGAATTGTATCCCTGAAAAAGATATGTTAAGTTCTCATCCTCAGGACCTCCAAATGTGACCTTATTTGGAAGTAGGGTCCTTGCAGATATAACTAGTTAAGACAAGGTCATACTGGAGTAGGGTGGGCCCTTCACCCAATATGACTGGTGACCTTGTAGGAAGAGCAGATGAGACACAGAGACAGACTCAGGAAGGAGAACACCTTGTGAGGACAGAGGCAGATGGAAGCCCCACAACTAAGCCAAGGAAGGCCAAGGGTTGCCAGCAACCACACACACTGGGAATAGGCCAGGAAGGATTCCCCGCCTCCCACCCTGCCCCACCAGGTTTCAGAGAGAGCACGGCCCCGCCAATGCTTTGAGTTCAGACCTCTAGCTTCCAGAACCATGAAACAATAGGTTTCTGTTGTTTTAAGCCATCCAGCTTG